AATAATGATAGTTATGTGCTTAGATTGTATGTAATAAAATTCGACGCTTACTAAACTACAACATGCTTGAATAATATAATTTAACTTAATTAAAACTAAATTTGTAATTGAAATAATTCAATGTTGTCAGCCAATTATCACTTGTATTTGAATAAGAATGATATTATGAATAATGATTTTGTTTGAATAAACGATTTATTGTTCACAATTACCAGATCGGACTAGTGAATATGTTTGCTAAACCTGATCACTGTGTTCAAATGATTTGATTTGGAAAATTTTATCACTCTGTTATCACGTATACATACCATTCTTATCATGAAATCAACGATTTTAAAATAATCCCTTTATTTTTTATCTTCAAATTTACTGAAGTTTCTAAGTTAAAACTCGTAACTTTGTTATTATTTTTCTTAGCTGAATTTCTACCATTTTTGTTATCGATTCGATCAGTGAATACGTAATTTAAGCACGAAGCAATGAAATAACATTTTGATAGATTCTTCTGTAAGTGATGACCTATAATTGAGATAATTGTTTCATAATATTGATTCCTATTCAAGTAAATGATGCCGTAATCGTCAGTCGCCAGTTACATCAGTGGTGATGGCCTGGTGGCTGACGAAATATCAACACAGATACAGAAGGCTCGATTGGCTTTTGCCAACCTGCGTCACCTATGGTGCAGGCGAGATATCCGCTTTCTAACCAAGGGACGTGTGTACCGTGCAGCAGTTCGCTCGGTCCTCTTATACGGATGCGAAACATGGCCGTTAAGAGTAGAAGACTTTCGTAGATTATTAGTCTTCGATCATCAATGTCTCCGAAGCATTACTCGTGTATCGTGGGACAACCGTATACACAATGCTGTCGTGAGGAAACGAGCAACAGGTAAGGATGTCAAATCAATAGATGAAACATTGAAACTTCATCAGTTGAGGTGGTTGGGACATGTGTTACGTTTGCTTAACCATCAACTGCCTCGAGGAGCTATGTTTTGTGGTGTAGGAGTAGGCTGGAAGAAAGTTAGGAGCGGCCAAACCAAAACATGGCGGAAATGCATGAAGTCACTGATTAGTGGACTGAGTCATGTTGGTAGATGTAGGCTATCTGGTTGGGGTCCGCGAGACGAGGGCCACCAATGGTTACAGACCTTGATTGACATGACTCAGAATCGTTTGCAATGGCGCAGGTGCATCCACTCTTTGTGTTCTCTCTAATTCTAACCTTCTGAATTCCTCATAATCTCTGTCTTTCTACTTCTAAATTTATCTTACTGAATTATACTTGTCGAATCATATCTTCGTTCCCTAATCTTCTCGATTACTGCTAATACTTCTACTATCGCTATCACTGTTGGCTTGGTACTGACAGTTGCGTCTCTGTGCTGATGTGGTATGGCCACCTGAACTGATGTACTTACGTACGAAGTTCTGCGTTGTATCTGTCTGTCTGTCACCGTAATCTCATTAATTTACTGATGATAAAATAGTCGAAACATTAATTTTTATTTCTAGTTAAGAAGTACTCACAGTCGAAAAATATGAAGGTGTGAAAGTAAAAATGAGTTATAAATTTTAAATAAGCAGTTTAATAGTTTCCTAACTAAGGCTTCTGAACTTTGTTCCAACGTCTCTTACGAACTTTACTCTTTTCTCTACGCTTCTTTACTAACTGTGAAAATTTTCCAATCGATCTCTTACTATTGATCTTCACAAACTTACTTAAATGGGTTTTTATGTAAACATTTCCTAGTAAGATTCTCAAAAGTATGAAGCCGTTTTTCAAGTACACTACGTGTATCTTAATAGTGTTTAATTCATTTTAAAGTTAACACTACATGCAAAATATTTCAACAGGTCAAATCCAAAGTAATAACTTGATGATTATCAAAGATCTGACACTCTACACAAATTATTGAGTTAACTTCATGACTTATGAGCTTGATGTTGATAAAATAAACATAATTAGTTGAATTAAAAAAGGTACTATTTAGTTTCATATCGTTTCATATCATATTTTTACCTCGTATTCAAGTGACAAATTGGTAATAAAACGTTGAGCGATTCAAGCAAATCAATATTATTGTACCAAAGAGTTAGTTTATCGAATCAAAATACTCTGACGTCATGCGAATCAAATGACAAACAGTCAGCAATAGTAAGTTTATGTAAGGATTTTTCGATACTGTTGCGTTCTTTTTTTGCATAATTTTCTACTAGAAATCCACGACTTGGAACCTCAAGATCAGGCGGAAAGAGGAAAGCCAAAGTACACATTAAGTCGCGAAATGGAGAAAGATAATGAGAAGAATGAAGAAAAATTGGACAGAACTGGAAAGGGAGGCCCAAGGCAGAGTAGGTTGGATAATACTGGTCGGTAGCTTATGCTCTACTATGGGTGACAGGCGTAAGTAAGTAAGTAAGTAAGTCAGAACTCCCATTACTTCATTGGTCTAATCACTACTAATACACGTATCTTGTGACTGTCAATTTATACTACTTAAGTGTAGTTATGAAATTTATTTAATTGTAATCATTGACGAACAAATTTTCTTAATTGGTTAAACATATTTTGTACCCCTATAAATATTTATACATATTAGAATAAAACCTAATGACGATCTAACTGAAGAAAAAAATTATTTATTTATATTCGTTTCAACACTATTAATTATCATTCATGGTTTTTTCTTAACTGAATAACCCAGCGTATGTTAAAATCCGTCATAGTGTTATCATTTGTCCCCAGGTATGAAGTCAAGCCTTACTGATGATACAAAATGAAAAAGAAATCTAGTTACAAAATTTTATAGTTCCTCAAAATTTTACCAGGTAACTTTAGTACAACTAATGTATAATATACTGTACATATATACACTTATACATAATTAACAGAAAGATTTTATAAATGATTTAGTTCTTAAAAGTACATTTTAACAACTTATTAAGTGTATGTATAACCAGTTTTTTTCTTTTCTAAAATCAACTTAAACTACATACATACTTTTAGGAGCCATTCAACTTTGTTTTTTAATAATAACACTATATAAACATTGTCATTTGAACTAATAAAAGCGTAAAGTATGATCATAATTCCTACATTGTTTTTATTCATTAACCATATGTTTCTCCTTTTTATTCATACAATTTTTATCACTAGTAGTTTCATTAAATATGATTGTCTTTAATAAATCATCAGATTGGTTTCTTTGATCAAACCTCTGATTGATTTATTGAACTGAATTAAGGATATTATTATCCTTTCTTATCTTTTCATAAACAACTGCACAATCACCTATGCATTGTACTACTTTTTGTTTGCATTCAACATAATTCAAGTATCATCTGTCGTTCGTACTATTTTTATTCAAAAAAAATTACTTTACTAGCAATAATGACACTACAGTGACATACTGAACACTTTCATATCTTCATATAAGTACTTTTAAGTATCACAGTCTTGATTTAAGTTAGTAGGGACAATGAGAATCGTGTGTAGAATAAGCACCTATGAATTGGAAGTGTATTGATGTACAACTTCACGTTGTACGTTTTTTGTTTAGCTAGGCATTTTAGTTATGACTCATATATAGGGAAAGTGGAAATGTCGGCAGAGTAACTGCATTTGCTGTCATAAGGAATAATTGAAAATACATATAATATACATAGTCAGGAGATGGATAGGAATTAAAACAGTATTCTGATTTTTTTTTCTGAACGTGCAATATCCAATACATATTTAGAATAGAAAAGCTAATAATTATTATAGATGGCTACCCATATAATAACTACCAATATCTTTCATTGTGAATAAATTTATTAGGTCTCAAAAATTTTTACAATTTAGAAAATAACTTAGTTGATGATGTGTAGTGACAGAATTTACTGACAAACCAACCATGGGTTTTAATACTTTTAAGTTGAAATAACATACCAGTTTCCTTGGTAAGTTCTTGCTAGCAGATTCCTGGTGAAAGGTGAACAACCGTCTAATTTATTTTAAAGAAGCTAACTAGTTCAAATGTACACCAGTACTTCATCTTTACGAATAAATATACAAGGGCAGGGTATCATAATATTTGGTTCGTGACTTGTTTAAGAATGTTGATGATATGGTGAACTAAGTCTAAGAGTGAGTCACAACACAACAACAGCAGCATAGTGGATGCAAACGCCCATCATGATTTATCATTTGTATGCTAAAAGTAAGTCTCATCAATTTTGAATAATCTTTTCCAATTAGTGAAATTCAGATATTATATTTTGACCTATTAATAAATACACCCAACATTATCGATACGAAATTGATATGAATGGTGAGCTTTTCATTAAAGAGTCTCATTAATAATGAACTTGTATTCAATAGTAGACAATATTTCTCACGGGGAGTAAAACCAATAAGGTAAACGTTGCTGTTATTTTAGGATATTTTTTGATCAGATATAGATGAGCTGAACTGCCTCTTTTCAGTCGCACACTTCTCAGCAGTCCATAATTTTAGTTACTTATAGATCTTAAACAAAGTCAAACATGGTTACTGAATTCCATCAGTACTCACTATCAGATTATATGACTGACACATAATAATAATAATAATAATAATAATAATAATAATAATAATAATAATTATTATTATTATTATTATTATTATTATTATTATCGGAAAACAATTAATTTTTTTATGAAATCATTTCCAACAATCTATAGAAGTGAGATCAAGTTAAATCTTCTGGTCATAGTACGTTGCCTGAGTAAGGCAAATAAAAGTATCCTACTTCTTTTTCAAAACAATTCAATGAACGTATATTTTCTATAAAGGTTACTACGAAGTGTACGGTTTCTAATCAACAGAGTTATTCAAGTATGGGACACAAGAAGTTCATCTTGTTTAGTAAGCGTATAATTTTAAAAAAAAGAGATAATCGAATGATTATCAAGCTACCTATTGATTTCCAACTTTCAAATGATACATGAATTACTTCAATACTCAACATTGATAAGCAATCATCAGCAGCAAGCCTGTGAATGACCAAACTTTGGCTGTTTTTAGTTATCAAAACATCAATCAATGACCTATTGATGTAACCTAAAATTCTGTTTGTATCAAACTCTGAGTTCATTAAATAATAATGTTCTTCTGTCAGTGAGGGAGATAAAACAGACTATGAGCAAAACTCACTATATGTTCACATTAAAAATATATATATGCGTAAATTAGTGTATGGATAATTCTGTCATGATATTTTTACTAGCTCAACAATGGAAATTCATTCTAAGAATCTGACTACTCAAAAAAATGATACTGAATGTTCAATATATTGTCATACATTGAAAACTAGTTCACAAATGAAAGAAAAACACTTCAATCAAGCCTATACTACAATAAATCTGAATGATGCAAATTTAGATTTAAGCTTTGATTTAACTCATTCAAAATGCCTTAATGAAACAATTTCAAATTCATATTTCAATAATATGAATCAATTATTTGCTCAAATTATTAATCCACAATTTCGTAAAAATGCTCTCATTAACATTTGTAAATCTATTGAAGAGAATACACTAGATATAGGAGGTCTTATTGATTCACGTCCAGGTATTATGGCTGCATTAATTCTGGAAATTGTACAACGTTATCCAATTGATAAAAGTAGACCACTTTCATCAGAATCATATGAAGTAAGTAGTTGTGGATAGAAATCCATTAATGTACTATACATTTATTTAATATGTACGGTGAAATAAGTAAGGGTTATTGATATTCTGTTATGTGTGACCGATGGTATACTTCTAGCAGTGGAGTTCTATGCTTCTATGGGTAGAACCATATTCATGATTACGTTTAGTATATATCAATAGATACATCTAAAAATTCCTGAAAATGTATAATTTCACTTCAGCGAGGAAAAAGGGTGAATAAAAGAAAACTGGGGAAATCTGTTGGGGATGTTAGATCCCGAGAACTCGCTTGATAAGTGCCTTTCTTGGGTTTTACGTTTGCGAGCATGTGTTGATCAGTTGACCATGAGATTTCATTTACCACCAGGAAAATCCATGGCTGTGATTGGCTGCTGTGTATTTTAGTGTGCTATTTTCCTGACTGTCCCAAGGACGTTTCTATGATGTATGAATAAACGAGAGTTGTGTGCTTGGTTGCACTGTGATTGCTGGGTGTTGTTGAATATACTTAATACGCTTATCAAGACTTCTGTTTTGCAGTTTGGGATTCAAGGTAGCCTACCTGGACGCTGGTAATTGTCTCGCTCGCGTTTATCAACTAAGGTGAACTCGTAATAACTTCAAACGTACCTAGTGACGAATGTAACAAAATCAGATATCGACTAGGAGAAAATTATCAACGCACTGATTAGAGGTTGCTACTCCACATATTGAGTTTAAGAATGAAAATAAAAAACAGCTAGTAAAAAGGAACAAACGACAGACAACATTAGACATGAATTTTTTGCAACATTTACACTTAAATTGCTGTAAAACAATGCGATTAAACAAAAAAAACAGTTAGTAAATTTATGCTTTAGTATCTTCTTAGTTATATACCATTCGGATCATTTATTACTTACTTACTTACGCCTGTTACTCCCAATCAAACATACGCCAAAAACCGGTTTTCTCCATCCAACTCTGTCCCGCGCTTCCCTTTCCACTTCTGTCCAATTTTTCTTCATTCCTCTCATATCTTTCTCTATATCTCGGCATAATGTGTTCCTTGGCCTTCATCTTTTCCTTTTGCCTTGAGGGTTCAAAGTGAGGGCTCTCTTGTGACGCAGTTAGATGCTTTTCGTACTGTGTGTCCTATTCAGTTCCCCCGCTTCTTCCTGATTTCCTCCTCCACTGCAATCTGGTTTGTTCTCTCCCACAGTACGTTGTTGCTGATGGTGTCTGGCCTACGAATACGAAGTATTCTGTGAAGACAACTGTTAATAAACACTTGTATATTCTGGATGATGGCTTTCGTAGTTCTCCAAGTTTCCACTCCATACAGTAGAACTGTCTTCACATTTGTATTGAAAATCCTGATTTTGGTTTTGGTTGAAAGTTATTTGAAGTTCCAGATATTTTTCAATTGTTGAAATGCAGCCCTTGCTTTGCCAATCCGCGCCCTCACATCTGCATCCGATCCACCTTGCTCGTCGATGATGTTGCCCAGATATGTAAAGATGTTAATGTCTTCCCAGGCATCTCCATCAAGAGTGATTTGGTTGGTGCATGTTGGTTTTCATCGGAGAATTTTGCTTTTTCCTTGATGAATGTTGAGACCTGCTGTTGCAGAGGCTGCTGCCATACTGGTCGTCTTCTCTTGCATTTGAATCATTTATTGGTGGATGAAAATGCCCAAAAAAATAGAAGGTACCAATTTTGAAACCATATACACAAATACTCATATTGTTATAATGGAACTGGTGACTTGCTGCTTAGAGTACGTGACTTTAAACCATTAAGAATCTGATTCGAATCCCAATTTCCTTACTTATGTCTGGATAGCAGAGTAATATCTCCAACTTTCAGATATAAACGTGTAACTTCAAGTAGGAAATATATAAATTCACAGTTGGTAAATAAATTAAACCATCCCGTAATTTACAAGTTTGAAGTAGAAGAAAAAAATTTATATTCTTCTTGATATTACAATATTCAAGCAGGTACAAGATATAAATGATATTCAGCGAACAAATTTGGTGAAATTTGAACACCTTACCTAATATTTATCAATATTTTTAATTATTCTGTATTTCTCTTTGGTATTTTGATATTTTTCTTTTTTCCAGATTATATGTTCAATCATTGTAATATTTCAACACATTATACTCAATAGTAAATTTCGTCGTAATTTTGTTAGTACAGGTGTACTAGCATATTTATTGCCTTATTTTAACATTGAAAGTCAAACACGCAACAGTGAACATTTACGTGTTAGTCTATTAGGTTTATATGCTACAATGGCAAGTAAACTGTCAGTTGATGATATGGAAAGTATTCTTTTCCCTGAATCGAATGCATATTTCAATGAGGAAACAGAGAATGAAGGAAGACTAGACAAGATCGATAACGAGGCGAATTTTAATCAGTATAACATTTGTGCTTTAAACGATCTATTCACACAAACCTTGAAAGCATTAATTCAGTGTACTACTGAAGTTGGCAAAAATATGGCACTTATTTTATTAGCTCGTTTATTAAATTCTAAACATCAAAGAACTCGTCTCTATCATAATCACAGCTTATTCAATTGGTTAATTTCATGTCTTACACAAGTGACTGGATATATGGTTAAACGATTCACTGTTGACATACAACAACAATTTGTGCATGAAACTCACTTGTGCGAGAAATATGCTCGTGCAACTTTGATGAAAGCTAAACGATTATTACAAGTCACAATGGAATGTTTTAATCAATTAATTATTGATCTCAGACTACGTAATCGACTACGTGATAGTCTACCAATTGAATTACGTTCAAATATATTTTCTGTCATTTTATTACATGATCAAGATGTTCAATTATGGCTTGAAAAAATTTGGTTTCAATTGGGATGGAACAAAATGAATTAGGAGTGTGCATTACAGACTTATAATATAATATTTTTATTTCGTAGTTTATTGTTTCAATAATAAATGGAACATATTTTTCATTTGAATACAAATCAGACTTTTGTTTAAATAAAAAAAAACGTTCATAGTCGACCATCACGTACTTTAATAAAGTCAACATTTTTTCATGAAGAATATTTGATCGATGTTACCCTTAAAATAGGATACTGGTTGTACTTTTAATCTTTACTGTGAGCAATTTCCGACTGACTATACGATCATTCAAGCAATTTTCCCATTGATAAAAACAAAGAATATAATAGAATAACGAACTGATTTATTTCGTGGTTTATTTTCATTTACCGACGGTCTCCAAATAATGGAATTAGTGACCTAGAAATCAAACTTTACATTATACTGTCGGAAATGTTTTCATCAATGTAGATTAGTAGTAAATATGAAAAGATTAAGAGAGATATTCAAATAAGTGAATGTTTTTGTCAAATGGTATGAGAATTCTAGAAGAGAATTTTCAATGGAAATGGAGACAGAGATGGATGGCGGGTAGCAATGGAATTCAGGATGCGCTAATTTGATGTACCTGCATTTCAGTGTTGGTGTTCACTCCGACACTCGATCCGCTGTACCGTTCACTTCAAATACCATGGTGATATCCATTTAGCTACTGAGGACAGATGGATTTTGGCTTGTGTGCAATGAGGTGAATTTTCAACTCATAATATATTGGTTGTTGTGATCTTGTAACTTAATAGTAATATTGAGGCAATCCGCACAGGATTCACATATAACAATGAGACTATCCAGTTGCAGTCAATGAAAAAATTAAGATAAAATGGTAACGTAATGATAGAAACAAAAAATGATTGATTATAAGATTAAAATGACTGAAGCTCATGATAAAAATGCATTTATAACTGTAAACACAAACTGTTACACATCTACTTGTTGAAAACTGAGGTCACCAGTGGGATGAAAAAAGAAATGATAAAAGCATGTTTATAAATGTATAAATGCGGTTTAAATCTTTGGATTCATTAATCAATTTTTATCATTTTAAAATCTGAACTTCATATCCAGTATTCAGTAAACGATGGTTAGGTTTGAACAAAAATCTTCACAGGCTCCAAAAGATGGACCACATAAAATTGTAGTAATGACTTAGGTAAATAGTAAAAAGGAGAATTACATAAAAAATGATAGAATAACCTTCAAATATATAACAGGTATGAAAATTTCGTTCAGAAAGTTTTCAGGAATTTTTGGCAAAACTTTTATAGAGAAAAGAAAATCAAACTGTAAAAATAACTCAGATTTGGAGTCAGAAATGAAATTATTCTGAGTCATTTAGTTCTATGATTGGTAAAAGTATGAGACACTGACGACCTTGAGCGGTTCACCGGTCAAACAAGAAAAGGCGTCTAGTTCCAGAATAATCAGTTAAAGGCTACGAAATATAGGTTGAATAATAACATGCGATTGCCTTAAGAGCAGTTAAGTTTCATAATTTAGCTTAAGCATCATCTAAAATTCACTTCTCGGTTTTATAATAGAAATTTCTATTGATCCCAAGCATTTTAAGTCCCATATATTGCCAATTCTTCCTTCATTAATAATAACATACACGTTATCTGTCGCATGTAAACTACATGAAGCGATATCTTAATTGTGATTAACTTATACAAGGCCATTTGATCAAGGAGGCTAATAGTGTGTCAGGTTAGTGTGATTTTATCTTTAAATTCAGTAAGAACGTACATGAGCTACTTTTTCAAAGAAATTTCAACGGTAATTAATAACGGTAACTATTAAGATTTAGCACATTAATTGAGGAAAATTTAACAGTTTTAATATCTTGTTCATGTTGATAAAGCTAGCAAATTAATGCTAAAAATGAGCTGCGAGTCAGATATAAGTGAATGGTGAGAGGTATTAGATGACTGTTTAAAACCATTGCTAATAATCAAAGCTGTTGAATTGTTCATCGTGTAAATTCTACATTTCCTCTGAATTCTTGAATTTATTTTAAAATCTTTCATTCTTATAGTTTTGCGAATTCAGAACTAATCTAGTTAATCAATTTAACGACAGACAAAAAGAGTTAAGATATCATTCAATCAGTCGGAAAAAATGCGTTTAAGACTTAGTTAAATATATTCAGCATACCATTAACTGACTCAATAGTACACTGTTTAACATGAGATTCTATCATTAACCATAAAATGTGACTAGAGGTAACTTTACCCGGATACATGTTGACTATAACAATGACTCTATTCATAACTATTTATCTAGTTCTAATATAAAATGCAAATATAATTACATGAATACAGGTTTGATGTATCATTAAAAACTTAAATAAGTTATCCACAGGATTACATGAATATAAATTCAATATTCAGTGATATTAGACAAATGATATTACTTGACATCATCACACACACACTGGTTTTAATAAAATGTTACAGTGGTTAGAATGTGTTTTTACATGGTCTAACTTCTAACATAACGAATGTAGAATTATATTTAAATATTTCCATGCAAAGTACAAAAAGATCCTATGCATTACGTTTCCTGTAATAAATGGTTATAAGAGGAGAATTGAAGAAAACAATTTTTGGTTGAAGACAAAATGGAGGATGGTCACTATTATATAACTGCATTTCAATACTTTCTTTTTGAGAAGCACTTATTCAGATTATATGCATATATTTCTGCTGGGAAATTTATATTGTGACTAAACACGTATTATTATTGAATAGTGGCTGTTCTTACCATTGAACTGTAACGAGTTCAAAACCTTACTCTATCAATTTCTAGTTTGAATTATCAGATTGTCTTAGTTGCATCACATTTATGTTACTGCTCATCCTTATCAGTTGCTTATACAATTAAATTAAACATTCAGCTCAGAGAACCAAACATCACCACCACATTAATCCACCATCTTAAATATAAGTGTATAGTATGCGAGCTTGTCGACTTGTTAGTTCAACATTTCTCTTATTCTTCTCTTTTCCAGCTTTCCTTATACTGGTCTTCCTAGTACCTAAACTTATTTTCAGTTTAGATAGATACAAATTGTTACAAATGATGATATTTACATTGATGATCGATTCATCTCTGTTTTAAATGATAATAAGACATGTTTCTATTCATGATGGGTTGATTTTTCTTTATCAATATTTCTCAAAGGTAATTACTCATCTTGATAGTAACCATCGGCAATAAAAAAAAACAGAACAGAACAGCAGAACAAAGAAAGTAAAAAATGAATTGATCATTGAAAGACAAAATAAGTTATGGTTGGTAGGTGGTTACATTTTTTTTAAAAAAAAATTGTGTTTTGCAAGTGACAAATACTTTTACTCTTTTGTATATTGTACATTTCTTTCACTTAAATATATATGTGTACATATGTTATTGTGTACGTATTTATGTATTTTGAGTTTATACAAGTAACCATGTTCATTCATGTTATTATTATTATTATTATTATTATGATTATTATTGTTAGCTTTTATAGTGAATAAAAATCATAGTATGTGTTGAGATGCAGAAATACACATGACCTCACATTGTACACCTAAATGAAAATACTTGGTATACAGTGTGTTTCTTCTTGTTCAAATTGTTGTTATTTCATTATTGTTTAAGTTTGCTTGGTTCATTCCTTCTCTTTAGTGTCATTTTTTTTCAACAAAAGGAAAAATCATTTTTATGACTATTTCACAGAACTTACTCATCATTTCTGTTCATTTACTACTTACTAGCACAGCAAAATTATGAACTATTGTTGATCTCAAAAGAGAATAGTAATTTTGACTGCTGTTTTTAGAAAAAAACAAATAATCCTTGACTAGAAGACTTTGGATGAATAAAAATCATTCAAAAAAAGTATTAACTTGTGTAAACGATGAGAAGAATTTTATTAATTTCCAAAGATAAAAAAAAGTTTCACTTAGTTTCTTAACATTTTAAATACAAATAAACATGATTAAGTATAAGGTGTATATATTTGACAAAAAATTCTCACTAATGAAGTGATAGTTATTGCAATTGAAGTATCGCTTTATTATGAGACTAAGCAACCTTTCTCTTTCTCCTAGTGATCGACTGGATTATGAAGACGTCAGCATCTGGAGGAAAGCACAGTATTCAGAGGACAGCTAGGACGCAGCTGGACGATCTGGACTTCACAGATGACCTGGCTCTTCTATCGCACACGCAACAACAAATGCAAGAGAAGACAACCAGTGTAGCAGCAGTCTCTGCAGCAGTAGGTCTCAACATTTATAAAGGAAAAAGCACGATTCTCTGATGCAAAACAACATGCAACAACCAAATCACTCCTGATGCAGATGCCTTGGAGGACGTTAACACATTTACATATCTTGGCAGCATCATCGACAATCAAGGTGGATCCGATGCAGATGTAAGGGCGCTGATCGGCAAAGCAAGGGCTGCATTTCTACAGTTGAAAAATATCTGGAACTCCAAACAACTTTCAACCAAAACCGAAATCAGCATTTTCAATACAAATATCAAGACAGTTCTACTGTATGGGGCGGAAACTTGGAGAACTACGAAAGCCATCATCCAGAAGATACAAGTATTCATTAACAGTTGTCTTCGCAAAATACTTCGGATTCGTTGGCCAGACACTATCAGCAACAACTTACTGTAAGAGAGAACAAACCAGATTCCAGTGGAGGAAGAAATCAGGAAGAAGCGATGGAAGTGGATAGGACACACATTACGAAATGCACCTACCTGCGTCACAAGACAAGCCCTTACTTGGAACCCTCAAGGTAGAAGGAAAAGATGAAGGCCAAGGAACACATGACGCTGAGAAATAGAGAAAGATATGAGAAGAATGAAGAAAAATTGGACAGAAGTGGAAAGGGAAGCGCAGGACAGAGTTGGTTGGAGAAAACTGGTGGGCGGCCTATGATCAATTGGGGGGTAAGTAAGTTTATTGTTAAACGAAATATGTTTCAAGGAAACTACTCACTGCTTGTGTTATTTAAAGAATCATTGTAAATACAATGCTGTTTGATACAATGTCAATACAAAATACAATTTATTATACTTA